ATAGACCTGAAAAGATCAACCAATGATGAAGTTGGTAATTTAATGTGGTTGTTTTATTTTTATAATCAATTTAGCATTTTATTATACAATATTATTATTTTTTTCATTAATTAAACAAATAAAAACTATCTTATTTGAATCAACGATTATAATTTTATATAAATAATAAAAACATAAATCTCTTAGTTAATAATTTATTGAAAATAACTGATTATTTATCATGAATTTTTACTATAAAAATTTAATTATTTTTGTAACCATGATTTCCATGGGCTATAACCTAATTATTAGATAAAATATATATTAGGTAAGATGTTCTCTCTGCATTGCTTTGTATACGGCACACACACAACAACTTGAAGAGTCATGCATATGCAACTCTATCCTTGTAATCGCAATACTTTCAAATAGACAACTTTAGTTTGATTTTTTTTTTTTTTCTATCTTAAACATCTTAAGAGATAGATTGTAACATATCTAACAACGTTAATCGTAATTAAGTGATAAATTATTATATGTTATGATAAGTATCTCTTGAAATATTTTTCAATAAAGTACAATGAGATTCAAGGACATTTTGGTTTGCCTTTAGAATTCCTTTTGTCCCTATAACAAGGGCACTCGTCTTTGTGTCCATACGTTCCTGAAGGCACACAATGACAATATTTACAGCATATCCCGCAATACTTTAGGCATCTATTTTTTCGCCCTGCCTTTGAACACCTCACCGCACACTTGGAGTCGCAAAAACCTATTACAAAGTAATATAATACTCAAACTCGTTTTAAAACACAAAGTACAAACATCCCATGCAAATAAAAGATCTAAAACCACAAAATGAAACATCTCATGCACATAAATGAATAGAACGAAGAAAATGCACAATATCCATGTGTCATCAAATGAAAAAATAACCGGAAGACTAGAGTATTAATCAAACTATATTTTGTATTGCATAATATATAATAGTATTTAACGTACAAGTTGTTATTGGACAGTTGATATTGGGTTTGTAAATTAGTAAATAAACTTACTTGAACCCGCCATGGTGGTATGAATGAGAGAAGAGCTCAAGAGTACAAGTGCCACAAGCACGAAAGTTGCAACAATTGGCTTCATCTTTTTTCCTTTGTGAATTGTGTATGAACTCACAAATTGTATGTGAGAGAAATTTGGTGCGAGAATGGGGCACTATTTATAGGGGAAGAGGTTGGTAAAAGAATTCAAACTTGTTTACTTAAATAGTCCTTGTCTAGTTGTATGTAGTTTATTTGATATGTATCACTTATAAAATATTATTTCTTACATAAAGCATGATCACAATGTTTTTTTTTCTTTTACGTTTCACCTGCGATTAGACTGTGATCAAGACTCACTCATTGGATAAAAGTAAAACTCACATCTTTTTTTTCCGCCGAAGAAGCTGGAACAAGTTGGAATCACAACCCAAAAGGCAAATTAATAATAATAATAATAATAATAATAATAATAATAATAATAATAAATTATTATTATTATTATTATTATTATTAATTTATTACTATTATTATTATTATTATAACAATAAATTATTATTATTATTATTATTATTATTATTATTATTATTAGTATTAACTATCATTTCATATTGAAAAGCGGAACAAATTAAGTATATATGTATTAGTATTTTACATTTTTATGTTGTTGAATGACCTGTTGTATATATATATATGTATGTATGTTAAAAAAAGTTATGTATAAAAAACAAATAAAAATATATAAATATTACTTGACATGTCTCGTTAATTATTACTCTCTTTTAAAAAATATTATAGAAGATCTACATAAAGTCTGATAACTCAAAGGACAATTTGTTTATTTTAGTAATATGTCGATCATATAATCATGTCAGGTGTTATTTCTACTAAATGTCAAACAAGAAATCAGTTTTGTCCTCTAAGATGTTTTATCCGGTGCATAAAGCATCCCCGTGCAACAAGGATCTAGTTATTGTTCAATTGTGATAACTACAATTTATGACCGAATTGCATATGAAACGATATTCTATATGGTGATAAATGCAATTTATGAAACGAAATTCTACGATGATAATTAGAATTTATGAAAGGACAGGATAAAGATTAGAATAAGAGAGTAGAGGGATAATTATGTAATTAAGTTTTAATATAACACAGGGATGATTCTCGAAGGGATCTTATCTTTAGTGGACTCTGGATGCTCTAGACGTTGTGCATTACAAACTTGTATTTATTTTGAAGAATTGTTGGTAAGTTTCAACAGACCAATCATGTGACTTATCGTGGCTTGTTCCACCATCCCTCGCTATGCTTTTACCTTTTTTTTCCTACTTTCCATTTGGCATCCATGATATCGTATCTTAGTCATAAAATTGGGTTTTCTTACTTGACGAATGATTGGATCAAGTTAAAATTGATTATTGTATTGCATTTTATAAAACTAAGAGTAAATTAGTGAAATGGCCTTTGTGATAAACTGAAAATAGTAACTTTTTTACTCCAAGTTCTTTTAATTTTTGGAGTATTTGACTTTTTTTTTTATAGAAGTCTCGAAAGTCGAAATTATCTTCTTTTAACCATTAAATTTCTAATCGTATTAAGGGCGTGTTCGACAAAATTAGCTGGTAGCGGGTAGCTTGTAGCGGGTGGCGGGTAGCTTGTAGCTTGTAGCGTTTTGTTAAACGCTACATGAAGTAGCATTTGGATTTGTAACGTTTTGTTTAAATTAAACGCTAGAAGCTTGTAGTGTCAAACAAGGCTTTCTGTTCAAAACGGAGCGTTTTGTCAAACGCTAGAAGCTAGAAGTTCTCAAACGCTCCCAAAAGCTCTGTGCCGAACACGCCCTAAATAGGCCATTGAAGTCACGGTTTTGTATACATTTACCTCATGTTACCTCCAGCTCCTAGTTAGCTGGTTTTCTTGCTGACGTCAAGCCAATGTGGGCAAGAACGACGCCGTCTTCTGTTTGGAAGTTTCTTAAAAGAGTCGTTTGGCTATGGTCCTTCTTATTCAAATTGATTATCTATCTCACCAACAAAGAAGCGACGTCAATGAGATACACGCATAACTTCACAGATCAGTTTTGGGCAAGAAATGTAGGGTGCGACTGTGGTTATGTGATCAAATCGACGACCTCCTAGACAAATTGGAACCCTTGTAGGAGGTTCATGACCTGCCTTAACTCGCTAGTAAGTTCATCTCTCCTAAATCAATGTGTTTTTTTCATGTGCTTCTTATCATTTTTCATGTTATGATTAAAAAAAAGACTATTGTGAGTATTTTGAGTGGGTTGATCCTAAGCTCCTTTGTAAGTGGTGTAAAATTTGTTTTAAAAGCTTGCATAGGATACTACATACTAAAGGATTGTTATTCTATACAAAATTTGTGTATGAGTAGTTTAACTCAGCATTACCTCGTAAGGTCGTGAGAATATGGAAGCATGTTTTCTAGAGGAAACGGGTGAAGTAAACTAGAGTTGAATCAAAGCAAGTTGTTGAATGTAGTTCTTGTAGTGGTCATTATATTCTTGATTTGTTGTCTATGTTTATAAGTGTTATGTTGGATGTCTATATTTGTAATGATTATTAATTAGGGATTGAAGAGGAAAATGATAAAAATGTTAAAAATTAAATTAAATTTGTTAATTTATATTAAGTTAATGGCTAAACCTACAAATTAGACAATTCGAAAATAAAAACTGTATAAAAGATAATTTTCAAACATGATTAAAAGAATATAAAGTTTTAAAGACGCCTATGGTTGATTTTATCTATTGGAATTTAAATAATATAGACATATCACGTTGTTTGTCGTGGAGTGCTTTAGAAATCTTTATGACGTTTTCCACCCCATCGTTTTCCAAACACCTATTTTTCAAGTGTTGTGAGTTAATTAATTTATCAATTCAAAAACTCAAATATTGAACCAAAGAAAGGAACCCAAATAGTTTGCAATCTTTTAAAATCCAAATTAATCATACCAACATTTACTTCTTCTTGATATATTTCATCATTCTAACTCTCTCTCTCTCTCTCTCTCTCTCTCTCTCTCTCTCTCTCTCTCTCTCTATATATATATATATATATATATATATATATATATATATATATATATATATATATATATATATATATATATATATAGTATGGCTACCATCAATCTTTTTCTTCACCCACAATCTTGAGATATTGGCTTAGTGCATATGAAATAAAATACACCTATACACACTTTCCATTCTTATTTTCCATATCTCTTCTAGCAATATTTTTCTATTAAACATGTATATCTATATAAATATTCTTTTTTATTTTCATGTATTCTTGATAATAATAACGAAAAGATAAGAGAAGAAAATATGGATAACAAAATATAAGTGAAGAAAATATGAATAACAAAAGCATGTAAATAATCCTTTCTAATAAATAAAAATAATTTTGACAAATGTCACTTTCTCATTAACTTGGAAACATGTCATTTTCTGGTATTTTTTGATAAATATTTTTTCCATTTGTCATTTTCTCATTTTTTATCTTTTCTTAATTAACACATCACATTTACACCTCAATTAATAATTGACTAAATTGAAAATAATCAATAAATTACAATACTACTACTCATATATTGTATTTAATATGTTTCTTTTTAATTTTAAATTTCAAATCTAAAATTTCAATTTTAAATAAATTTTTGTTTAAACTTTCATATTTAATTTTTTGTTTTATCCAACCCGTATAACATACGGGTATCACAACTAGTATTCTTATATATGACAAAATATTTCGATTAACCAAGTATATGACTATGAGGTTGATTGTTCTTTAGACTTCAAATAAATATGGGGTTAAAAATAATAGTTTTTCTTGATTTACATTAATTTCGATCACATTCTATATAAAATTTATATGGATACGGACCCAGAACAACTGGGCAACTGGCCCGGCCCATAAGAAGTCGATTCTCCTGAAGACTGGAGAGGATTGGTTACTTACTCCTCCAATCAGTTGCGGGGCTACTGAAGATTTCGGTAACACTGTATTTTCGCATCATCAAGCCACTGATCCGACTCTTTCAATCTTGTCATCGCTGCTTTGGTAGAAGCATTTTGATCATTGAACAATGTCTGCGGTTTCTCCTATTCCGAGTGAGACGTACAAGCTAGGGTTCATCGGAGCTGGTAAGATGGCGGAGAGTATAGCCAGGGGCGTTGTCAAATCCGGTGTTCTCCCCGCTTCACGTATTAAGACAGCTCACAAAGGCGCTCGCCGCGCCGCTTTCGAGTCCTTCGGTGTCGGTGTTGCTGAACACAACAACCAGGTATAACAATACTGTTTGTTTCCATTCGTAGCAGTGATATGTAACTCTGTTCTTGTACAACGCCTAACAACCTCAGGAAATGAATTCGCATACTGATGTGATTATTAATGGGGTTTTCTTCCGATTGTCGGGATTTTAGCAACAAACATTAATTTCAACCATTTCGCTGTCTACAAAATGATCGATCTCTCCTAGTTTAGAATTTCGATACATATTTGCAAAGCATATCTGCATCTGGATGTATGAAATTGCAAACATATCGTTTGTTTAAGCTTAGTATTAGTAATTGAGTGAATGAGTTTTCTAACAATTGTTAGTGAAGTACATTAGAAAGAGCTATTTGTTGCATTTAACCCTTTTACTTATCCCACTATAATCTTTTTCTTTTTAACTGATATCTTTCGTGTTCAGGTTGTTGAAAACAGTGATGTGGTGATTTTCTCTGTGAAGCCACAAGTTGGTATTTTTCATGCTGCCTATACCTCTATACTTATTTAGTTCTTGTAATAGTGCTAATTATAATTAATACCATAAATGAAAATATTGAACTACAAATGAAGTTTAAAAAAATGATTCAATTTTTGTTATTGAATTCCATTCCATTTTCTACCAACGAAATTCATGAATTCCTTATACAAATTCCATTTTTTCAAAAACATTCTGCAAACCAAACACCATCTTGTATACTTGATGTTATAATTTACAAATAACCTTTTTTCTAATGTCATTTTTGTTTGAAATATAAAATCTGATTATTATTTTTCTACTTGTGGCTGCAGTTAAAGATGCTGTGTTGCAACTGAGGCCTCTCCTATCTGAGAAAAAGCTTCTGGTGTCTGTAGTTGCTGGTGTCAAATTAAAAGATCTTCAGGTTTCATGAAAACAAAATTTTAATAATGTTATAAATTTGATGTTTATGGAAATATTTAGAAGGTGATAATTTTATAATAATTGGTTTTGTTTGATCCAGGAATGGGCTGGTCATGATCGATTTATTAGGGTTATGCCAAATACCCCTGCTGCTGTAGGTGAAGGAGCATCTGGTATAATTTCCATCATATTTTTCTTCTTTTTTAATCTAATATTCATTATCTGCTGCTTTAATTCTATAATTATCAAAATTAAAAAATTGCCTTCTTAACACAGCCTTTAAATATAGCCCGATAGAAACCCTAATCAAGAAAGAAATCTACCAATTATAGCAGTGAAAATTGGTTTGTGTTTTGATAACATTGCTATAATTTGGTAGAATTTTTAAACCATAATGCTCTAATAGGCAAAAAAAAAAAATAAAGGGAAATCTTCAAAAAAGTCTTTACATTTTTGGGTAAAAACCCAAAAATGCAAACAATTGCCGGTTTTTTGGGGTTGATTGCTAGAAAAAAGATATATAAGGACTTAATCGAATATGAGGTCAAAATGTAAGGACTTTTCTGAAGATTTCCCACAAAAATAACAAAAGTAGTAAGCTATAAGCCTAATACTAAACAAATGAATGGAACTACAATTTCTAAGTATTTGAGATAATGCAAAAAAAAAAAAAAGGAGTATAGGAATATTTCTAAAAATAGTATTGGTGTAGTTATGAGCATGGGAGCAGGAGCAACACAAGAAGATGGTGAAATAATTGCAAAGTTATTTGGAGCAGTTGGTAAGATATGGAAAGCTGATGAGAAACTCTTTGATGCAGTCACAGGCTTGAGGTAACTATGTCTCTTTCAATATAATACCAATCTACTTTTTTTTTTTTTTTTTTTTTTTTGAAATGAAAATATGATGCTCATTATTGATAAAGAAATTAAGTTGTTTTTTAAAAAATTTCAGTGGCAGTGGGCCAGCTTATATATTTCTGGTCATAGAAGCCTTGGCAGATGGTGCTGTTGCTGCAGGTCTACCACGGGAACTTGCTCTTAATTTAGCCTCTCAAACGGTAAGTCTTTTTTATCATAACATATAATTTATATTTAGAAAGAATTACCTAAATTATCATTTAACTTCATTTACATTTCAATTTAAAATTCCAAACAAAAAAACAGAAACAAATAAGAAATGGATTTGAAACAGATTAATTATAATTCCTATAAAAATGATGAGGGCATTTATGTCTTTTTCACATTTATTTAGGTTTTGGGGGCAGCGAGTATGGCTAGGGAGACAGGGAGGCATCCAGGTCAGCTGAAAGACGATGTGACATCGCCAGGTGGCACGACAATTGCTGGGATTCATGAGCTGGAGAAGTCGGGATTCCGTGGGATTTTAATGAATGCGGTTGTTGCTGCTGCAAAGCGTAGCCGTGAGCTTTCACAAAATTAGTTTTTTATTTTTTTATTTTTTTATTTCGTGGTAGAAACATATTATGCATAATTAATGAATTAACGGACGTTGCTATTTTGAGGGATTGAATAAAGATTGGCCTTTAGTATTAGTTCATGATGGATGTCCATGCTTTCTGGTAGGGGCAGTTTTGTAAAATTGGATAGTATTAATGTCTTCTTTATTTTCATATCTGATGTTTTTAACTTTATATTTTTATCATTTTTCTAGCGTTAACATTATTACATAAAGATCCAAAACAGTGCAATATAATGTCATGTCACATGAGCAACATACAGCGAAAGAGAATGACAAAAATAGTAATGTTGGTCGGGACTTTCAACAAAATAGCTATGTTTGTTTATTTATTGTTTTTTAGTATTTTTCCACCTACACCAAATTTGCAATCCCATTATGATTTATGAAACACTTTTGCTGCGAAATAGTTTTTGTATTGTTTAGACTAAAATTACCATTTTGACCCTCTAGTGTTGGTGCAAATAGGTGTTCTTTCATTTGGTTCCAATACACTGCAAAAAAACGTTCTTTATTCTTGACGTGTTTTTTGTATTCTTGACTCCTTTCTTCATTTTTAAAACTAAAAGTGACATCCTCACAAGCTTTCGTTTCCATTGCTGGAATGTTTAATTATTTTTTTTTACAAAATCAAGATTTGTCCTGATATTTCATCTAAAATCAACAAACTGGTTGGTTTTATCCAAATTTCATCATCAAAAAACCATTCCAGTCCACTGGATTTTAAAACCAATATGGGTATTAACCAACAGAAAGGAAGAAAAAACATGCACAACAATGATAAGAATACAAATATCCAATATTCCAAGAAATAACTGTTTCCAAGTGGGGATGAATATTTCAATTGCAACTACAACTACAAAAGCATACATGTTGACCCTAAAGATTTACAATTTATGTTTTACATAAAAGAAGCATTGATATATGTACAAATCCACATCTGAAAATAAACTTGCAAAACTCGCCTACAAACATGGTTCTTCTATGACAATTCACAACCATTGCTGATGAAGGTCAAATACAATGTTATAATTGGGTAAAAAAATTTATCACTTAAACATGTCCAATATTCCAAGACACCCTTTTTTGGTATCCTGTAATCTTCTGCAATTAAGACTAAAGCTCCGGTTTCAGATCACATGCACTGTCACTATTGCTGCAAGAAAAAGATTAAACATAAGTTTTCCAAAAAAAAAAAAAAGAACAAGAAAACTGTAATTTGAGATTAAAAAATGGTTTAAAGAGATAAAACATCGACACACTTCGGTTGATTTGTTTATCATAGCATTCTTCTTTCATTTCTTCTTATTACAAAAATGTGCTTTGAAAAATCTACCTAATAGTATAATCGAAATAAAAGATTGAAAACGTTTGTGTGATTCATAACAAAAAGATAAGAATGTGGTTAAAGAAAACACGAAAAATGGTAATTTTGTGAATAAAAAACGGGTTAAAGCAATAAATAGCAACATATTGTCGGTGATTTGTTTATAGTAGCATTCTATATTCATTTCTTGTTATTACAATTTACAGTATCATGCTTTAGAAAATCTACCCAATTGTAGCAATATAATCAAAATACAAAGCAATGTCCTACTAAGAAAAATATTTGAAAGTACAATGCTACAATTGGGTAAAATTTTCAAAGTATAATGCCTTAAAAGAAAAAAAAAGGTTCAATGATGTAATAGACGAGAATAAAAGTAGGATGCTATAATATACAAATAAATGAAAGTCAATTGTTGTTTCTTATTTAGCACTTAAAAAGATTCATCGAGTTTTCAAAGTAGAATGTCGTAATAGAAAGAATGAAAGTAGGAAGATTAAAATTAAATATTTTTGGAAAATGAAAAAGCAAACTCACCAAAAATGAAAATGAGGACAAGTATCCAAAATATGATTTGAGTAGGGCGACTATATTGCACATAATATTGTGACCTTTGAAGTTGTCTTTGAATACCACCATACCACCCGTAAAGTTGCTTTTGATAACAATCATCACCATTCTCAAGGCAACTCTTACTCCTTTCATAACATGCATTAATACCCTTTTCATGCCAAAAAAAAAAAAAAAAAAAATATTATCAATATTTAATACAAATACAACATATTAATATTATAAGTGATCAAAACTTTCATTCTCTACCCATGCGGGACGAGTTATTTAATACAAATACAACATATCATCTTCTTTCAAAGTGCATGAATAAAAAAACGAGTGGATATATCTCCTCCCATTTCTAAATGTTACCAAATTTCTAACTTTTTCTTATTTACATTTTTATCAAATTCAAAGAAAAAACATTTTACGAGTTTTAGAATATCTTATACATCCATTTTACATTATACTAAACAAAATAACTTTTATTTGTAACTAATAAACTAAGAGAATAAAAGATTATAAAAAAATATATATAAAACAGCTACTTGGTCAAGCTTGTAAATTTACAAACTAATTTGAAAAAAAGATCCTACTATTGTGGATGCTCTTAATCATGTAAAGTGAAATAAAAACTCACTTTGCTCAAAGGCTGAATCTCAGGCAATTTAACATCAGCTTCATGTCGATTATCAATAAGCTTCAATTTCCTATAACCATTTTTTGACCACTGTAATTTTGCTGCAGAATCCATGGCATTTAAAAACCCTGAAAAACTCGGTATCTTTCTTGGAGGCTCTTCTGGTTTTCCACCATCATCATCCACCACAATATTCCAGGCACCAATGTCAGCACCAGCACTTGCTGTTCTTCTATGCCCTGAAACTTTCTTCTCATTTTTCTCATTACGGCATTGTACTTTTGAAGGAAGCTTTTGTTTCTGTTTTTGGTCAACGTTTGACTTTGACCCTGAAAGGAATGATGCTAGTTCTTCGGTTTCTCCTTCATTGAGGCGTATCCATGGACGAGGTGGCTTTCCTGTGGGAAGAGCTGATTCATCTAATGCTTTTGAAACCTTTGAAATTTGGCAATCGATTGCTTTGATAAATTCACGATGTCTGGTTTTAGCATCTTCTGTAGAAGATTTGATGTAACTCTGTTCAACTGCCTTCTCAAATTCTTCCAACTGTAATATAAAAAATTGATTATCAATAGGGTTAGAATGGAGAAAATGGCGAACCAGTGTTCTGTATAAATGGCGTGAAGATCACCTGCCATTTAGCAGTGCCATGGGCAGTACGTAAATCCCTTCGAAGTTCTTCTGTCTTCCAAGCAGAAGGTTCTTTCAAAGCGTGAATCAGTGTTCTGTATGTTGATTCCATTCTTCATCCATGAAAGAATTAACAGTAAATAAACGAAGATCTGGTAAAGAAACTAGAAGTACAAAACTACTAAAATGATATAAACCCTAATCGACAAAACACAAGCATCAGATACCTGTCGGCAGATTCCTGAACTTCTTCAGCAGCAGAAAAGAACGGATCTTTCTCCCACCGTTCGAAATGCGACGACATAGCTCTCCACGGTCTCTTTGACAAAAACCAATGTACCGATTTGGGAGCAAAGATTTATGTTCCAATGTAACAAAGAATAAAGGAATGAAAAGCCCAGAAATCAAAGAGCGATTAAACCCTAACTCGTAAACAATCCCTTCCGAAATCAAAATCAATGACGATGGAATTTTCCAATAGATCGCTACACAAAATCTCGAAACCCGTTTTCGATTGAAATAAGTTGGTTAATTTTTCAGGTGGAAAGAAATTAAGATTTGGGAAAATGAGAGCTTTTATTTATGGTATCGTGGCGCTGTCGAGAGCCAACCGCTTTGGGGGAAGGTTACAGCGTCATTGTCTTTTATGTTAGGTGCCCGGTCAAAACCGAGTGTGTAGAAACTAGAAATAATGCATTTGGTCAAAATTGCGGACTCGAAAAGAAGTAATCTAATCAGAAGTACATTGAAAACAAAATTCTTATATAACAATCGATTTTCATAGATGATAATCTATTTTAGTTCTTACTGCGACCTCTTTTAGTTCTTGGTGCGACCTATGGTGCAAAGTGTTTGAATTGTTTGAAAGTAAATATGCAACATCAGAAATCGTGTGGGGGAGCTAGAGCTATTTGAGGTGGCCATGGGAAATTGGGACATCTGATGATGTATTTTTAATAATTAAGTTGTCGAAGACACCAAAAAAACGGCACAAGATATGATTTTGGTAGTCGACGAACTGAACAAGAATGAACACATTTTAGCAGTACGTGAGATTTGGGCTATACAAATTCTTTTTGAAGTTTGTGTTGATAAGCTTTTGCTCGGTCTTCGACGACCACTTAAATCATCCACGGATGGCGAGAGTGGCGCTAAAATGTGTGTGTTGTAGAGACATAACGTCGACTACCTTAAAGAATTTCTCTATAGCCCAAATCAGTTGTCCACACAAACTTCAGGACATAATGTGTGAATGACATTTGGACTATAGAGACATAACGTCGACGACCTCTTGCAAACTATGACCTGTACAACTGGTTCAAGTCATGATTTTGGAAGAATTTGCAAGAGGAGATGAGTACGAAGTTATGTTTGAGTACTAACTATCATCCACAAATGAACGACCAAAGTGAGGACAATTCAAACCTCAGAGGATATGACACGTGCATGTGTTTTAGATTTTGCGAGCAATTGTGATAACAATAACTATCACTATGACATTAAAATGGTGTCGTTTGAGGAATTGTACAGAGATAAGTGTTGAAATGTCATCTTATTGGCTAGCGGGTTCAATATTAGTCCATGTGATTATTGATGTAACGACCTAAACTTTCCCATTTCGTCATCAAGATTAGTTTTTCGTTATGCGTTATTGTTGAGTTATTTTTGTCATGGTTAAAATTAACTTTGATTGGGTAAAGTGCAAAAAAAAAACAATACTTATCATATACATGGGTCATGGAGTCATTTTTTCACACTTACGGACCCAAATTGAAAGTTATGAAGTATTTAAGCCACATTAACCTTAGAATCTGGGATTAAACCCTACTTGGTTGCCTCCTCTATACCTTGAAGTGTGTTATTAGATTTCTTTCCTTCCTTGTGTTGGATCAGGTATCTAAGTCAATAACTAAATTAGTATAGTTTTGAATTATTAGCAAAATCATTTTGGGTTGCCATCA